TCCGCAGATAAGTGAATAGAAGTATCTTTTTTCTTTCGCTGGGCTGTGCACATGTTGACCAGATTCCACGTGTGTGGACGCCCTGGTGGTCATGAAGGTAAACATGCCGTTCCTCAAAAACAAAAACAAAAAAATGGAAGCAAAAAAGAAAAATGACAGAAGAGTTCTTCTCTCTAAAGCGTCCGAACTCCCATGAGTCAACCCAAGGGAAAACAACTGTGGTCTCCATACATAGGTATCCATAAGAAGTTCGAGACGGACTCTGACAGTGAATTTCTGAAAATTAACCAGACTGGTATATCAGTATAACTCTAACAAAACCTGAAACAACGTTAACATTTCGCAATATAACAAACCTTATCATCTCACCAATGATGATTCGAACATTCAACCGGTGTCTGATGATAAATCCAGTGACTTTCGAGCCAAATTGAATGATTTGGCTCATTCTTATGCTAGTTCTCCTATTTCTTTCTCTGAATCGAAATGGAGAAGTGAACACCATAAGGTTATTAGATCCCTTAAGAATAACTATTCTTTGGTCATTACGAAACCGGATAAGGGATCGGGTGTCGTCGTCATGGACCGTCATGACTACATTAAGAAAATGTTAAGTATATTGAATGATCCTTCCAAGTTTCAACGTCTTGGTTCCATTGACACTCATGTTTTTACGCTGACTTCGGAAATTCGATTTCAGAAACGTCTTGTCAAATGGGTAAAAAGTGGTGTTCTTTCTTCTGAAATGCCAGGTTATATAGCCTTAGATGGCAACTGGTCTACCGCAGAAAGAAATGAGAAATTACTGCGAGAATAATAAATCTGCCTCGTCAGTCATATATCGAAAGATACATGATCACCTAAGTGTGTATAATGCATGGTACATAATTGACTGATTGATTCTGTTATCATGTAATGACGGATTTTGTAATATTATTAACCCACTTTTATTTTAATAGTTCTCATGCAGAGCCAATCAAAGACAGGGTTACGAAATTAAGGAAGATAAAAAAACATTAATATTTATAAAGTTTTGCTTTGTACAAAATATTCCAAAGTCGGCCATTTGTCATAGTTATATTTCAAGTGTGGAGGGTCTGCTTTTCTTGTAAAGGTCAATTAATCAAAATAACATATAACACTTCCTCTTGAACACGGAAATCTAACATGGACGTAAAGCACACAGTTATTTCGGAAAACCTTACTGAAAGTCCATTTTTGTCATATATATATATATATTTGTCCTCAATCAATGTGTTCGGTGGCGTCAATTTTTTCGCGTGCGCTTTCGTGATTTGCATTGAACAGATTCCAGTTCTTTCTTCTTTTACATTGAAGCTGTGTAAAAAAAAATGTTTTATTCATGCGGTCAATCCGCAAGAAACGTCATCGAGACAAATAACAAATCTTCTGAACAATCAAATCCAACCTATCAGCTGAATCCTTAGCACATCTCCCGACAGGGGACGTTGAAACCGAAGTCGGACAGAAGCTTATGGAGATGGAATTATCAGAAAGAAACCCGACTCGATAATTACGACCGTCTAATTCATTAATATTCATCATCATATTTTGTAAAAAGGAGTAGTTTTTTTTTTCTTTCTATTTTTTTGTAACTCGGTCGGACGTCTCCAATGTTGATTCAAACAACTTTTTCATTCAAAAAAGTAACCAAATTTAGTTGTATTTGCAGCTAAAATGAGGAATTACTTTTTCCTGTTCTGAAGAAATTCTTCGTCTGTCTCGAGTATCTGAGTGAAGTCTTTTAAAATTAAAGCTATGTTTCTAGATCGTTTAAATATTCTGTATAATAAATATTCAAAACTGTGTGTGATTTTGCCTTTTAATGATAATGACACCAACTCAAATTATTCCCATCACTCGAAAGAAACACGAGGAGATACAAAGCAAAGTTGATTGAATTTACTCATCGCTATTCATTTACAACTGCTCATATTTCATTTGGCTTTTCCTTTATATATATATATATATATATATATATATAATATATGTGTGTGTGTGTGTGTGTGTGTGTGTGTGTGTGTGTGTATACATATATAATATAATACTTTATTTCACGAATTTTTTACATTCATAGGATCATCTTATCAGACGAAAGGAAAAAAGATACACCCCACAAATTAAATGGAAGATCACCAGGTCAATCTTAGACTCAAAACAAATTCCGGGACAGATGCAATGTATACGTACAGGAAAAGATCATTATGATTAAGTATAAAAATATATATGTGACCATTGTTCTTCAGAACTTCCTATACTTTGTAGCTGCTAGAAAGTTTTGTCTAGTTGCTATCACTTCTAGTCTTTGTTCTGACAACCAATGATACACGGTCGTTCGGTAGGTAATTCACTGATTTCTGTCTTGCATACTAGTATATCATTATTGATGATAAAATATTTAAATTGGAAATTTTTTTGATATTTATGTAGGTGTTAATACATGAAATTACCTGTGTATATCGGTATATGGGTACTTGTATGAGTGATTGCACATGCAAAAGAACGTATGTATATGTGGGATTTGCATGGGTGTTTATACAGTATATGACATAGCAAAATCTTTAATATTACCTAAAAATATTAACCTTAAGTAAATGCCATATTAACTTAATTAAATTTTAAGTAAAAGAGATTAGCCATCCAAAAACAGTCACAAGTTACATTTGTGAACAAATTTCAAACGGATAGAAAAGGGTAAAATATTTCAATTTAAATTAAATTATCAATTTAAAAATTTACCTCCATATTATAAAGAATTTTAAACTCACACACACACACACACACACACACACACACACACACACATATATATATATATATATGTATGTATATACAGGGTGTTTAAAAAAATTTGATATCCTTTGAGATGTAAATATCACAGAAAGTACATAATTAAGGCAAATGAAATTAAAAAGTATTAATGTTGAAGATCATAAGATTTATTCTTACAAATCTGAATGAGAAATTCAAAAGCCTGTGGATTATGTGAACGATTTCACAAATGTTCAATATGCGAACCGCCTGAGACACGGCATTTTTATACCTGTAAAGAAAAAGATTAAAGATTAAAGAACATAAAAATACAAATAAGAAAAACACAAAAACATAAAGACATAAAAACATAAAACAAACATTAAACATAAAGATGCTATTAAAATTTGAAGTCATTTGAAGGAGATCTAACAAAGTTTTTAGAGTGCGAAATGATATAAATTTTTTTGAAAAACCCTGTATATTTAAATATATATGTGTGTGTGTGTGTGTATACATATGTATATATATAAATATATAAATATATATATATATATATATATATATATATATATATATATATATATATATATATATATATGAGTTTATCCTCGTCTGGAAAAACATTAGTTGTTTTGGCTTGTAAATGAACAAACTAATACCCATAGAAAAATAAAGGACTAAAAAAGAAAGACCTATGAAGATGTAATTGAGGCGAAACTAATCGTCTTTAATCCAAGTTCAGTGTCCAAAGAAAAAAAAAATAACTTCAAACAATTTAAGAAAAAGTAACTACATAAAGTGCTCAATACACTTGTCAGCCTACCCTGACGATCCGCATAGGTGACACCTAGGTAGGATTGCCTGGTTCTTTAGGTTCATAGTCACACACAAATATATATATATATATATATATATATATATATATATATATGTGTGTGTGTGTGTGTGTGTGTGTGTGTGTGTGTGTGTAAGGAAAACATGTTAGTCTATTCCAGAAGAATTTCCAAAATAAACCCACCTGTTTTATCATTTGATCAGATATTAACGAACCATGTTGTGAACATTCTCAATATACACACATCTGTATATGGCAGTCATGTTACTTAAGTCTGAGCCAGTCTAAAAGAAGTAAGCACAATCTTTATCAGTTTCCATATTCAAACTTATGATTATCAGTGACCAGAAAATACACCTCAGATTATTATTGCTCGAATTTTGTTTTCTTTTTCTTATTTTTAATACATTGTGTCACCTGACCGATTCGATCAAGTTAAATATCTAATTCACGGCGTTTATTTGGTTCTTTCTTCCAACGAATATTACGAAAAAGGATAAATAGACACGTTTATTTTTGTGATAACGTGAAAGGGAGGAATGTAAAACCTTTAATAGGCAGTGATGTTGAAAATAAGAACTGGGGATATAGAGAAGCAGAAGATAGAAAACAAAATGGCCGATAAAATGGCTTCGTGACATATCGTGTCAAATACTAGTTCGTTTTTTTTTCTTTCTTTCCTTCACTCAATTCGAAAATTATTTCTTTAAAACATTTCTATTTTACTCTAGTTGATATTTCCATTTCTGAATTCAATTACAGAATCTTTTATTTTTCTTAGGTTTTAAATTTTTGACTTGCCATTCTAACGCCTAAATAGCTCGACGTGATAGAAACGTTAAAACAATAAAAAAAAAGGAATAACAGAAAGAAAGAAAACAAGGAATAAATATCTATCACAGACGTCTTTTTCTTTTAAATTCCGCAAAGGGAATTTATAATGTAGTCGTGTAATGAATGACCATGAAATTATTTGAGAGTTAATTCTTAAAACGTCACCAAAAATTTTAAATGACAAGAAAACACAAAAATAAAGAAAAAGAAATCACTATAAATTCAGTAATGCAAAAACAGGAAAAACTCGAAATAATAAAGCTTATCAATTGTTTTGTGTTTTGTGTGCTTACTGCTTGCGGTTTTTTTTCCCCAGCTAAATGAAAATTCATCTAATTTTCTTGCTTTCCTATCATCGAGATGTGACTCTTTGTTATTTATTCCTATTTGTTTTTATTTACTTATTTAAAAGTGTCTTCCAGTGACTTCATGCATAATTTGACGTCAACTGAAAAAAAAAACCGAAACAAAAACAAAACGAATAGATATAAAAATGAACTAAAAGGACATATGCTGCAATAGGTTTGTCTTTTGATAACGAACAAAATGAAGGTCGATGATTTCCTTTCCCGGGATTCGATGTCAACTCTTAATTGAAACAAGATTAATGTTCTTTCAATTATACATAATTATTCAAAGCTCCCAACACAAATCCCAAAGTCAGTACAATTAATATTCTTTATCTCTTTCTTTTTCTTTTTTTTCTTTCTTTCTCTTTTTGTTTTGCTTTCTTTCTTTTTTCTTTCTCTTTGTTTATTTTTCCTTTCTTTCTTTCTTCCTTTCTTTCTTTCTTTCTTTGTTTCTCTTATTTTTTTTCTTTCTTTCGCTTTCTTTCTTTCATTTTATTTTTCTATCATTCATTTTATTTTTCTTTCTTTCATTTCTTTCTTTTGTTCTCTTTCTTTCTTTCTCGCTTTCTTTTTCTTTCTTTCTTTCTTTCTTTCTTTCTTTCTTTCCCTTTTTCTTTCTTTCGCTTTCTTTCCTTTTTTCTTTATTTCTATTTCTTTCTTTTTCTTTCTTTCTTTCTCGTTTTATTTGTTTGTTTCTTTCTTTCTCGTTTGATTTTTCATTTTCTTTTTCTTTCTTTCATTTTCTTTTTCTTTCTTTCATTTCTTTTTTCTTTCTCTTCATTTCTTTCCTTCTTTTTCTTTCTTTCTTATTTTTCTTTCTCTATGTTTTTCTTTCTTTTTCTTTTCAATTTCGCTCTTTCTCGTTCTTTCTTTATTTCATTCTCTTTCTTTTTCTTTCTTTCTTTCTTTTTTCTTTGAGGTGAGCGTATATTTGAAAATCTGGAATTCACTCGTGAATTGAATATGGCTGCCATATCTTGTCTGGTGCTTCTCCTATTCATTCTTGACAAAATCCAAAGAATGATCTGTAATGTAATCGATCCTGACTTGGCACCTGGCCTTTAGTCACATTCTCACCGATGCAACGTGGCTTCAATCTCTCTTTTCTACAAACATTTTGATACAAGCTGACGAGCTTTTTCCCTAGTACCCCGATTAAACCATTTGAGCTCTGACCACCGCTTTCTGGTGTTTGTGAAAAATGATGTAATCCTTAGCCATCTGTTGAACAGCTGTAAAAAAAAAATGTCCTAATGCCCAACCACAAGTTGAACGGTGGGTAAACACTTGTAAATATTTTTATATATGCCGTGAAAATTTACATACAAATTATTTGCGAATTTAGACCCAGGTGCTCAGGAATGCAAGGCTCAAAGTGTTAAGCGTGCTACTAGATTTGTATCTAGTTCCTATCTGTGGAAATAGCAAAATGCAACCGCCACTCCTACTCCAACAGATTTTTTGCCTCGCACTTTCCGCTTGTAGAACGCTTTTCTGTTTACTTGCTTCCCTGAGAAATACAATTGTCAAATATTTAAATGCAACGTCAAATGCAATCTTCTGTCTTGTTGGATCCCGTTCATCTTTTGTGCTTTCGTCAACACTCTTTAATTTCAGTTTTTTTCCCCCATTTCCACTCTTTGTAACCCCATGTGTTCTAGTGGAGTTCCTGTCTTGTTTGGGATGAAACAATTAAAAACAAAATTCAAATAAAAAAATAGATAGCGTATAGTAAAGAAGTGTGATCTATTATATGAATGTAATGACTCTAGCTATATCCCTGGCTCTGGGCCCCCCAAAAAAAACTAATGCAGATCTTTTAAGGAGCGTGAAACGACGTCTTAATTCCCAGAACCACCATGAACAGGTGGTGCAGAACCTGTTCAGGTCCCAGCTATGGGCAAATAATGAACCCTCAATCTGCATCCTTTAATTCCAGTAAGGGGGTTCATTATTTGAAAATAAAAGTTTAAAAATACATTTTCTAATAAAGATTGTATCAGTAATTTAATTAGTAAATATATATATATATATATATATATATATATATATATATATATATATATATATATATATATATATATCGAGCAGTAGATTTTAATAGTAAAAACAAACAATACCGAAAGCTCTCAAAGAAATTAAATTTCGGCATTTGATATGCCGTAAAAAAAAAATCAAAACAAAACCTATCCATAAAAGCCCATCAAATATTTATTTAGAGAATGGTGTAATTACTGAAGGGATTTTTTATATGACATTTATTGCTATAAATATTATATTTAATAGGTACCCATGTTCGATATGATATCCCCATTTTTTATCATTTAACTCCAAGAAAGTCGATAATGCCTCTAGGATGAAAGGGGTTACCTTGAGTGAAACTAAATGAGAAAACTTTAGTGAGGAGAAAGGTTAATAAAAGAACAGGTAACAGAAGTTTACGATTGGAGTTATATTTAAATGTCTCGATTGTCGCTTACAAGAAAGTAAGAGATTTGTAGGCTATTCCATAGGCGAGAATTGCGAAAAAATATCACAGTAGAACATACGGTTGTATATATAACTAGTTCGACAGCAAAAAATGAAACCTAATTGCCAATCAAGTAGCGTGTTTACATTTTTGCTGTAGATGAACGAAGCAGTAAAACTATTAGTAGAAATAGTAAAGGGAAGACACGTCAAGACTGTGAGAAAATGACTTATGTAATCCTGCCTGATCTAACATGGCAACATAACAAATCCTATTTCTAGAGCCCGGATATGTTCCGGAGATCGAGATTTTCCAGGTGTATTTTTGAAAGTGCTGTCCGCACGAAATTTTCAAACCATTCTGATATCGATGTTCTATCCTGACCAGCATCATTCCAACGTAACATTGAAATGTACATGTGAAAGCAAGTCATGAGAAGGATTTGCAGTTACAGATTCAGTAATCTTGAAAAAAAAAAGGTTAAAGATCAAACACACGGTGTATGCCGGTCCAAGTCATGATTGTAACTACCCTGCAAGAGAATGGTATTGAACTAGCTAGATGAAGATACCATTGTTATTTGTCTAAATTCATTCGTGCCAAATAGATGACAGCTTAAAATATGGGAGGTACTTCTGCCGCACTTTGTAGTAATAAGAAAAATGACGGATATGTAATGCCTTCAGAAATTCCTGTTGATCATGGCCGATCCGCTTAACACATCGTTAGAGAGATGGAATTCTTCGCCAAAATTAGCAGTTATCGCATATATAAATGGATTCTCATGCTGTTTTTCAAACACAGGATTTCAATATAAAACTTAACAACTCGACTAACCGCAGAAATGATTTGATTATAGCAATAACATCTTGTGTAGAACCGGTCATACTTCTCGTATAAACTGCCTGGTGTATGCCGGTCCAATGGTGGTAACTGATGGTATCTGTCATAGAAATTTAAGACACTAATTAGATGAATAAACCGAGTAACAGAGAAAACCTCACGTCTACCACGAAGGTTCCAAACAGTTCTCTTCCGGTCTGAATACAGAATTTCTTTCTCCTAGACTGGATGACACACAAGGCAATTGAGCCCAATATTTTCTACTATTTAATCGACAAGCGGAGGAAAAAAGCCATCTTATTTTTAAGTGAACGAAACAGCACCAACCAAATTTGAACTCGGCAATTTCGCCTGCTGCGACGGTTGACCTAACAGCACATCTGTATTTATATAGGGTGTCTTAAGGAAATGAGAGAGACAGAGACAGAGAGTGAGTGAGTGAGTGAGTGAGTGAGTGAGTGAGTGAGTGAGTGAGTGAGTGAGTGAGTGGTGAGTGAGTGAGTGTGAGTGAGTGGGTGATTGATTGATTGAGTGAGTGAGTGTGAGTGAGTGAGTGAGTGAGTGAGTGAGTGAGTGAGTGAGTGAGTGAGAGTGAGAGAGAGAGTGAGAGAGAGAGAGAGGAGAAAAGAGACTGTTGATAATACAAAATGGCGGGCGGTCATCATTATTTGTCTGCTCAGATAGAATGTAAGAAAAAGGAAAATTTATAGCCCGGTTTAAGTAGTTCTTCCGAAAAGGATCACACTAAGCTAGAGATTTTTTTTTTTCTGAACAATAAAAGTAATAAAATTATTATAATTGCAAAAACTAAGAAAACAAAACAGAGATGGTGCGCAAATAAGCATACCCCCCCTAGTGAAATCGTGATTTCAAACAGAGGCAGCAAAGTAACACCAACGGTAATCTACCGACTGTAAACACCCCTGCAGTTGTTTATTAAATACGACGGATGTTCTGGAATTAGATTTTTTTTCCACCATCTTAAAACCGGTGGATATTTTGTTGAGTCTGAACTGTCAGCTGCATACAATCGTATTCAATACAATTTTCGCATTTAGATGTGATACAGTAGGGAAATGAATGACAAGACGAAAAAATACATCCTTCGAAATCGTTAATATAAAATTAAATAAAAAAAATATCTGTAAAGATAATACAAATAAAAGAAAATACAAGAGGGAAACTTTTATTTATACCAGTTCGTTTCGTTCTTTGACAAACTTTATCAAGGCAAGTGTGGATATTTTATTTGGTAAACTATATTTTACACTGAAGTAACGTGAAGAAAAATAACTTTTGATTAAGAACTGTATAAAATATGAAAAAAGCTTATTGTGTATGTCAGATTTAAAGTATGGAAGACACTATGTGACTTAATTTTTCGTCATATTAAACGAATGTGTGATGTGGTTATTTTTTTTTTATATGTAACTTGTAAGACAGGTGAAAATTTCACGGTGTTCCTATTTTAATATTCTGATGAATCTTAATTCTTTAGTTGATAAATAAATAAAGCTCATAGCGTGTTCTAAGACAATGAAATATCCGTACAATGTGGTTGGCGTCTCGTCTGCAGTCACTTTCTCACAGACGCGCCGTCGCCTCCCTCTGTCTGTTCTACAAATACTTTCATGGAAATTGCTCTGAGGAGCTGCATTCGCTGGTTCCCAGACATCATGAGTTCCAGCGCCATCCGAGGCTGGCATCTCGCTCTCACCCCTTCACTGTCGAAACTCCTAAATGTAGCCGTCTCTTCTACTCTAATAGCTTCATGTCTCGCACCTCTCGCCTGTGGAACTCCCTTCCCTATTCCTGTTTCCCTGTGAGCTATAATCTCCAGCTATTCAAGTGTAATGTCAATCGACATCTCCAGTTTCCTTGATCTATCCACTACCCTCATCCTTTCTTCTATCACTCCTATCTGATCTTGCTCTAAACTTTCTGTAACCCCTTGCGTCCTAGTGGCTTCCCGCCTTGCTTGGGTTGAAATGCTTAAAAAAAATTATACATATTACCCTATCAAATCGTTAAATATTTTAGCTTAACAACTTTAAGTAAATATTACAGTAACAGCCATATATTTGAACGCTGGTCATTTATTTATGAAGTGGGTACAAGCGAAAAGGTTTGACAACTGAACACTTCTATACTTCCGTCTCTCTTTTTTATTTAATTCATTTTCGTACTGAAACCAAGCAGTAACGTTCTCCTTCTTTCCATGTGATCAAAACGGAATAGTCTATTATTATTTATCAGATGATATTGATTATTTCTATCTTCCGTTTCTTTCTTTTGAGCCAAATCCCCGTCTTCAGAATATTTCTTTTCAAAACAATTTGCGTCTGAAAATGAGGCTTTTTTCGAGGTCTTCAGGATCTCCCGGCTTTTGAATAATATCAAAGTGTAGTATGTGTTCATAATATGTTAATATGATTTTCTGTCACACTTCACTTCTCTCTTGCCTTCTTTCTTAGTTTTATTTCCTCACTGAAAGAAGGTAGTGTTTTTTTCTCTTGTTTCCACTCAATCAAAAGGAATAGTTCTTTATTCATGAAGTATTGGCAAGTCGTAACAGTCATGTTAACTAACTATATATTTGTTTTCT